TAACAGGTCTTGGACTTTTCCGACAACTACGATGAGACCTCAGCCGAGTCTACCAAGGCCGATTCGGATGAAGACGCGGAGGGTGAGGAAGACGGGTCCGCCGGCAACAAGAACGTCAACGACGGGAAAGTCGACGACAAGGACGTCGAGGACGAGAACATCGAGGACGAGAACGTCAACGACGAGGGCTCCGACGCCGCGGGTGAGACTGCCATGGAGGTGGATGAGCAGTAGTTCAGCTCATTCCACCGTCCATGAACATCGCGGCCCCGAATTTATTTATTACATGCATCAACGTATCGTACCGTTGTCGTACATCAATTCGAATCACATCCTGCTGCTTGAGTCGTCGTCGCGTGAAACTTTAAGTCGAAATTTTCAAAATTCTTGGTAGAATTCTCATGAAACGATTTTGAAAAAGTCCCAGACCCCGTCCTCAGTAGCATCATTGGATATTCCACTTTCCAGCACATGGGTCCAAGGGGTGTGCACGTTGTCGCGCACCTCAATTTCCAATGTGTGGACTTCTGCGGACTCTGTGGCTGATCTTTCGTAAGATCTGCCCTCTCCCAGGAACACAGATCTAAGCCGTCCTCGGCTTATCTGATGCGCGACTAGAAAAGTTTTTCCAGAGTCGACAATATAAAGTCTGGGTGGGCTCGACAGGTTATGTCCAGTCCCATTCTCAGTCCTTATTTCGTTCCCATTCTTTCTCTCTATCCAGGCCTCGCTATGTCCGCGTTTCCTCTCCCCCAAGACTTTGCATTGCTCGTTGCGTCATGGAAGAAGGCTAAGCCTTCTCTCGCGGCGATGAACAAGCTGGGTCTAGGTGGTTCAGAAGGCATCCTTAGCGTTGGCAAGGATATTTTCTTTGTTTGAGTAAGTTGATTTGTGATGGCGTGTCGCGGCGATTATCTTATCTCGTCGACAGACCCGCTTTCAAGCTAGCTCGTTTGCTGCTCAAGATCCTCCCCGCGACGTTTTGGATTGTCTCGAGGAGGCCACCACTCTCGCTCTGTCTCAGACGGAACTGCTCAAGGAAGTTCCTGAGAAGCAGCGCAACGCCTCCCAGACCAAGGCCGTCAACAAGTATCGAGCCTATCTGGTTTGGCATGAGTCCCTTGTCGCGGCGATCATCAGCCTGCGACAAGCTCAGGAGAGCATCCCATGTCCTGCTGCAACTCCGTCGTCGTCTGGGAAGGCCAAGGTATGATCCCCGGTCTTTGTCCAGATTTTCTTACGGATATTGTTGCACAGGCTGAAGACCCTGTTCCTGAGGCTTCAGGCTCAACTCCTGCCATCGACATTGATTCAGACGTCGAGATGGAGGCCCCCACTCCTGTTCAAGAGAAGGTGCGTCCGTCTTGAGTCTCTGCCGAGCACAGGTTGATTTTCTCAGACCCCGCGACCATCTACTCGCAAGACCGTCGCAGGACGGTCTGGTTCTCGATTGGTCGACGGATCTGGTCATGACGACTCCGTAGGGCTCGCGGACGTCTATGGGACTATCATTCGACTCATAGACGAGCACAATAGGTCGATGCGTCTTCTCAGCGCCAAAATGTCGAAACTTCACGCGGAGCAGATGGAGGCTCTAGGGAGCTGTCTCCAGAGTTTCCAGATGTGAGTTTTCACTCAGTCGCGGCGACTACATTTCTGACCAATTACCCAGCCATCGTTTGTTGTCACCGGCTCGAAGAGGCAGCGACTCAGCAACAGTACCACTGATGCGACCCTGGGTGAGTCTCGCAGTTACACTCTCCCGCCGCGACACTTTGCTTAACTGATTGTCAGCGTCCGCGTCCGACCGAAGGTTTATTGCGGACCGAGTGCATCGACATCAATTGTACCGGTTGCGGCGGTCCATTCCACTCGAGCTCCTCATCGAGGAACGCGACTACGTCACGTCGCGGCTAGAGGAATGGAAGACTGCGCTCAAGGACGTCAAGGAAGCCATTGACCTCTCGATGTCGAAGAATGCGGCCTAATCTTTCATAATTTGTTCTATATGCACTCTCCTTCCATATGTCTCTTTCTCTCTTGTCACTTATTTATGAAGTCGCGTCTCTTCTTCTCGCGCACCTCCTTTATGACCTTTTTCTTTTGAGATACAACCCAGTATAGTCCTTAGGTACCAGCTAGTACCCAAGCAATATACTGAATTCTGTCTAAAACTGAGAGAAGCGACGTCTTGTCGTTCGAGAGCCTGCCGCGACAATTACTTGTTTGCCAGACTTTCACTCGACAGAGGCTGGATCCTCTACAGGGTCGTCGTCGCTGTCACTATCCGAGTTCTTGAGTTTCACACCTTCGAACTGGTAGTCGCGGACATCAGATATTTCCTCTACCAACTCATCGAGTTTAGCAGGCGAAATATCTATCAGCTTCTTTATATCTTCAGAGAGTGTCAACTTCTGTCTTGCCAAATAAGGTATTACTCTGAACGCCGCGACTTTCGCATGGAACATCGCACCGTTCATTTCGCAGACTAAGTAAGAACCCCCTTTGGTCTTTCGAACTACAATCATGGGCCCAAGATATCTAGCTTTCATCTTGTTGTCCAATGATTTTTCAATAGCTGTGTTCCTGACCAACACTAAGTCCCCTGGTACAAAGTTGTAATCTTTGATCACATGCTTGTACTCGAGTTTGTAGCGTTGAACCATCTTTAGTTTGGCGTCGCTGACGTGGCTGCGCATATCTTCAATATGGTCCGCGTGTTTCGCTAGAGCGCGTGCCCTGAGACCAATGAGATCCGCAGAGTCGACGATCCGGTCGGGATATTTGACTAACCACGTAGCTTCGACTATATCCAGAGGGATGGTAGGGTGGGCCCCGCATACTGCGAAGTATGCTGAACAACCCAGCCCGCTGAAATGCTGAGGGCGTGCTCACAAGTGAATCCACTATGAAAGTAAACCCAAATATAAAACACGTTCACACTCCTCGTAATCAGCTTCTCAGTGTGTGAAAGATGCGAGGGCTTCGGGGTGGACAGAGCACCAGTATCACAACTCTCAATAGACGCAGATCCAATAGTCGCGGAGACGAAGTCGACGACAAGAATATATATATAGCAAACAGTGGTATCTCAACCAATATCTTCTATACGAACACAACCAACACTAATCCAATCCACAACCAACAATATAACAAGTCAGAGCTTAATACGAAGTATTAAGATCCCTTGTAGCGACAGCGTCCAGATGGTGACGCAAAGCCCAAGTATCAAGTCGACGCACTGTCAACCGATACAACCAATATACTGAGTCGACGCACTGCCAACTAGTAAACCAAAATGTCAAGTCGACGCACTGCCAACTGACACAACCAAAAGTACTGAGTCGACGCACTGCCAACTAGTAGAGCCAAAATGCCGCGTCGACGCACTGCCAACTAACAGCCAATATCCAATGTCCAAAACCCGAGCACAACTTGTCGACGCACTGCCAAGCAAGAAGTGTGGAACCAAAGTTCTCAAGTCGACGCACTGCCAACTGACCAAAACAACCCGAGCACAACTAGTCGACGCACTGCCAAGCTAGAAGTGTGGAACGATCTCAAACAAAGCCCGAAGGCGACGACACTAAATGCCGCGACTAAATCAGATGCGGCGAATCCGACTTTCTGATGCCTCAAAACTCAAACTCAAATCACAGTAGCTACAAGTGCTCAGGGAGCAACTCGTCGCGACCGGGCAGGGGTAGCAGAACTTCTTAGGGTGGAATCACGCGGCACGCAAATTGTACAAAACAATCTGATATGAGAGTGATTCACAGTCCGGGGGAAAGCTTTTTAATACAAAGAGACGACGTGCTACTTATACTGTCTACGACGCTGCTTAGTAAAGTCCTGTACAACTGCATAGTAGCTACGCTATCTAAGATCGGTTGCCTTTTAGGGTAATTGAAAAGTTGAACGATCGGACAGGTCCTGAGTGATCAGGACCCCACCCCATTGTCCATATGATACTTTTGATGTGGGCCAACTCACCGCGTCATACTTTTGGAATACGACGTGCTGGATAGGCCAACGGGTATGTCTTGGCATGTGAGACCAACGTGGGCGCCCCAAGAAGCCGTATGGCCCTAGGCACGCCAGTCGTTTCCCACATGGCTCGGTTCACGGATCTAGCCGTGTCGGTTTCTAGTGTGTTTGGGTATGGGCGCGACTCGCCGTGACACTTGGAAGTGTCACCGCGACGCGTCCACAATGTCCCGTGATCGAATGGATCCTGACATGTGACAAGTCGTCGTCGTGGCATGATCTGAGGAAACGTCCAACTCAAAACCGGGAGTTGCCGCGACAAGATGGTTTAAGTCTCGTAACGCCAAGTCCTGTCCAGTAGTAGTTCTATTATTGAGAACGTCGCGCATTGCTCAGCCCTTCAGCCCAAGTTCCCATCTGCAGAGAATGACCCTTTTGAGAAGTCGACGCAACGACAGATCCCTTTCTGGGGAATGGTCGCGGTCCAAGCGTTCGTCACTAATGGCCCTGAGCCTGGTGTAGACTTGTAAGACCAATTCCACAGTAGTGATCTGACTGCCTTGCTATCGTCGACACTATCCACAGTCGTCGACTGGGCAGTAGACCCATAAGTCCTACTGAGCGCAACACTGTCAACCGCGACACGATACACCGAGTGGTTCAGGAGTAAACTCTGTAAAAAGCGCAAAAATACGCCCTTACAGAGCTGGTGCAGAGCGCGTCTGGTAGCCAGCCTATCACCGCGACGCACTGTAATTCTATCCGCCCACAAGACTTGTGGGAAGAACCAAAACCATTTAGAGGCGTTTCCCCCAGTAGCTTTGTACAGCGACTGTCGAATGTCCCAATGTCCTCTTTCAACAGTGCCATTAGCTTGGGAATTGTAAGGAGATATCCTTATTCCCTTGATACCATATTTCTTCTGTAACCAGTTCAACGCCGCAACGAACTGTCCTGCGTTGTCGGTTACAATCCACTTAGGACACCCCCAGCAACACACTATGTCTTTGAGTAAGAAACGCGCGATTGCCTTGGCGTTGTCAGCCTGTAGCGGTCGCGCTTCCACGTAGCGGGTCAAAGAATCCCTTGCCGCGACGACATATCTGTATCCGTTGGAAGGCGTTCCCATAATCATGACGTCTGTATGTATCTTCTGAAATACACTTGGAGTCATAGTCAGCGTTGGTGGAGTGCGGAGGAGAGTTTTCTGGCGGACTTGGCAGCTATGGCAAGTCTTTCTCCACCAGTCGACGTCTCTTTCCATCTCTGGCCACCAAAACCGAGTTTCCAACAGGCTCTTAGTGCTGAAAAGACCCTTATGACCCAGCGCGTCGTGACACGCCTTCATCATATAAGTCCTGTGGTGCTTATCCACGACCAGTCTATGAATCCCATTGGTCGATCTCTTGTACATTTTTCCATCTTTGAGGAAAAACTGTCGCGAGAATCTGAGAAACGATCTGAACCGTTTATCTGTCATTTCAGGCCTTATAGAAGTGTCTTTCAGCCACTTCCTAGCCATTACCAACTTATTGTCTTGTTCGATCCCTGTGCCCGTCCTGTGATCCTCGATGTAGGGATCCTCCGGATTGTCGCGCAGTTCAAGATCAGGCAAAAGTGGTTCTCCGTTTGCCACATTGTTCAACATGAAGACTGGGACAACGAGACCTTGAGCGTCATATGCGTCTTTGACACGCCGATTCTCAGCGCGACGAGAGTCGCAAGCTTCGACCAGCTTTTTGGATATGTTGTCGACCGACTCAGCACACCCAACCATAGAGTTAAGGTAGCCACCTCTGGTGTCAATATCCCTTTTGAACTCTTCAAAGTCTAATGGTTGTTCCGTGTCGTAGTCCCAATTCTCGTTGTTCTCTGGTGGTGGCTTGTCAAAGATTTCCTCCTTGTCATTGGGATACTCTTTGTCTCCAGGCGCCGGTCGTCGTCGCGACAAGCCATCTGGTGAGAAGGTGATTCCTCTGACATGTTTCAAGGTAAACTGAAACATGAGGATCTCCTCAGCCCAACGGTTGATATTTGCATTTGGTAGGTTACCAACGTTCCTTAGCATGCCTGCCAAGTACAACGCGTCGGTTTCGACTACCAGTTTCCTACAACCAAGAAGCCAGTGAGCCATGGCTTGAAGCACGCACTTCACACCATAAAGTTCACGCTTTGGTTGAGAAAACCTAGCTTCTCTTTCTGTAAGTGGGATACTCCCGGATTTCGCGTAATAGACTTTCTTCAGGTCATCTGGGTCGTGCTGGTAAATTTCGAAACCCGCGGCCATCCAGGATGTGTCTATTGCGACGACAATCTCAGAGTCCCACTCGTAGTTCAGAGGCTTAAGCAACGGACAGACTTGTATCGCATCCTTAAGTCTTTGAAATGCGAGCTTCTGTTTGTCACCCCATTCAAAATGCGCGTTCTTGTTCACTAGTCTCTGAATTGGTCGCACCATTTCAGAAAATCCTCTAATGAACATTTGCATAACCCCAATTGTGCCCATAAATTGCCGAACCTCCAAGACGTCCCTCAAGTCTGGCCAACGCATGATTACACCAACTCTGTCCGCGTCCGGTTTTCTTCCTTCAAACGAGCAGATATGGCCAACCACAGCAAACTCGTCGGCGCAAACCACCGACTTGGTACCAGACAGAGTCGCGCCACAGTAGCCGATTCTGTGCACGACGCGGTTCACATTTTGAAAGTGTTCCCATACAAAGCGACGAATCCCAGGATTCTCTGGAATCGTTTCACAGGTTCCATCTGGTAACAGATACCTGGTTCCAGGTCCTCGAACGGGTACGTTGTTGATGTATGGAATAGTAACATGAGGGATTTCGTCTTTCAAAATGAAAGTAACGTCCTCATGGAATATGGGTACTGAGTTGGTCCATCCTTGTGGGAGTTTGACCAACCTCAGCGCACCAAACGGTGACTGGAATGTAGTCAAGTCGCGACTAGCTGGATCGATGTCACGCTGGTCGTAGCCTGAGTAAAAATCTAGCGCAGCACCACAAGCGCGACCGGCGAAGTGGTTTGCTAATTCCTCTGTCGCGGGCGGCAATCCTGAATGTGCGATAGTAATTGCATTGAGTGGTTCTAGCAAGTGCACCAGTCTGATGCTCTTCCCATCCTTCTTAAGTACAGCAAAGAACTTGCTTCGATAAGAGGAATTGGAAGGTTTGTAGACCTGGGCCGCGATTTTGTCTTTGATGACCTTGCACACTTGGTCGAACATGCCGCGAGGTATAGGAATATTCCCTTCGCGATATGCCATATGGGGAACTGTCGCGATCTTGACAGGAGGAAATATATCCTGTCTCAATGCGCCACGTTCTTCATCATTGAACGCGAAACTCTGATTGTGAAGCATATAGAAGTGCATGAGCAACTTCCGTTCTTCTGGCAATAAGAAGTCTCCTTTGTGTAGCTTGTCCACAATCTCCCTGCGTTCCGCCGTGAACCTACCAGTTGGGGTAAGATCAGGTGGTCGCGGGTTTAGAGTAGGTAGCGTATCCAAAGGATCTCCCACCATTTCTCGAATTATTCAATCGTCCTCAGAACCCATAGTGTACACTGGTCTGACCTTCTGGTCCACAGGTTTGTATTTCTTCCCTGCAAACACAGAGTATTTGTCGCGACTAGAAGAGTCGTCGTCTAGTACACTCCAAGTACCAACAGTCAGTTTTTCTGTTGCCGCGTCTGAGAGTCTTTCATTCATATATGAATGAAACAAAGTCGACGCAGCAACGTCTTTCTTCATTTCCTTGTCTTCTTTCGACGACATGATATATGCCTCTACTAGCTCAGTTTGGGTAAACTGGCCACTAGAACACGGCTTTCTTAGATCCTTGAACACTACATTTCCATCCTTTCCCAACGACACAGTCACCGCAACTTCTTCTCCTTGACTCAACGCGGTCAATTCCTCAAAGCTCTTTGAAAATCCCGTTCAGGGTTCGGTTTGTCTGGACTGGCCGTCGGTTTCGACAAACTGTAGGGCTCGGTAGATCCGTCGTTGTTTTTGGTGTTACGCGGCAAGTCGTCTGCACGACGTGGCTGCATAGCCATTGCGCAACGTGTCTTTAAATTGGGACCGCGCATGGTGATTATCTGGCTGCCGTCGGCCGCGTTCTTGATATTGCTTTTGGTCGCGATATCAAACGGTCTGCCGAGCAACACTTTATAAGCTGGACTTTCCAAAATGTGCACCTGCAGGTAGACCAGGATGGTCCCAAACCTGAAGGGTACTATTCTCGCTAATCCCAGTGACTTAGAGATAGATCCATTTGCGCTTTCCATATAGATGACGACTTTTGGGTCCCAGCTCAATTGTGCGTCGACGGCTTCTGAGAAGGCCATCGAGACAATCTGAGATCCACTGTACAGGATGCAGTCCGCGTCGAGACGCGTGTTAATCCGTCCGTTTATTGTTCTGAGAGCAGCCGACAAATCACCAACGTAGACATGCCTTGGGTTCTCATTAGAGGGTATCGATTCCAAGTACATCTCATATGGGTCCGTCGCGACAACTGCGCCAATGGGAATTTCCCCTTCAACTGTGTTATGATAGAACACAGGCTCGGGCAATTCCTTAGCACTGACTAGGTTGTAGCTCAGTTCTCCATCCCAAACGTCTTCAATGACGCAACCAGTTTCTTGAAGCATGGATTTCTGAACCGGCACTCGTTTCTTTGAAGAGTCCTTCAGAATGGAGTCGCGGACAGTCCCCGAAACTGCTAGGAGTTCACCCACAGTGACGTCGACTGACGCGTTTTTCATTTTGTTGTAGACTGCTTCTGCCACAGCCTTCTTTTGAATCGGTGCACGCAACTGGTATTTATCTGGAACGCGCGCTTTTGAAGAATGTACTGGTTCTTGTAGAACGGGCTTGACTTTCTCAAATGGTAGTTCCTTTCTCTTTTCGGTGTTGTCGTGCACTGATTCCTCATCATCGTCGCTATCACTAACTTCTTCAATAATCACAGGTTTTCTCGGTTTCTCTCTTCGCTCAGCTCGTTTATCATGGTCCTCAGAGGGCTTGGCTGAGTTTGTGGGTTTAGCCCCCTTCCTTGAACCATTTAGAAACCCGAGTTGTTATCGTCGCGCTCAGGTTGGCTATTCGCACCTCGATGGGTTTGAATGAACTGCTCCTGAGTCTGAGGATAACCACTGTTCATGTTGTTGAAGTAGCCGGCCATGGCGTTGGTCATGGCTTTCTGCATGAACTGGCCCATGGCGCTTTCCATTGCATTGCTGGTTGAACCAGATGCAGCTCTTTGAGTCTTTGGCTCAGCGCGACTCTCTGGAATTGGCCGTGACGACTTCCTTTCGTATTGGATGAGTTGACTACAAAGGGAGCGTATCTCATCTACCACTTCTTCAGGGTAGTTGGACATATCATCATTGTCGCGGCTATCAAACTGATCCAAGTAGTAGGAATCCTGGAAGTTGACGGATTTGCCCTTCTTCTTCCAGTAAGCCTCTACTCGTTGTCCCTGAGTCCCTTCTCCATTTGGTAGGAAACTGTCGTCGAAGAGCCTCCACATCCCTTTGGTGTCAACTTTGAGAAGGTTTTTCTCAATGTGAGACCTCTTGAGCGGGCACTCGTTCGACCAGTGACCAGTTTGTCCACAGTAGTGACAGTCGTCGTTTCGTGCGGCAGCTCCTCCTTGTGCGCGACTTTCAAAGTGGGGCACAGAAGAGTTGTTGCCTACTGGCCGCGACCGCTGTATAGGCGCTTTGCGAGCAGTCTGTACAAACGTCTTTAACGCTTCCTGCAACTGAGTCTGTAGCTCTTTTTGGTGTAGAAGAAATGAGTCCTTCAAGTTGGAAATCGAGTTTTCCAACTCCTCAACCTTAGCATGGTTGGGAGGACTAGTCTCATAGTCGAAGCGAACCTTAGGAGGTCGCGCGATTATGGGAATTTCGTCTTTATTACTCAACGTCGACGCCATTTCTTCCGCCATCGTCATTAATTCTTTCAACTGGATGGGGTCGTCCTGCCAATTGACTCCAGTCGCAGGGACATTAGCATTTGCTATCCCAGCGCGAGTTTGGTAGCGCTTATTGAATACTTGACTCGTAGCCAAAGCATTTCGCAAGGCGGTGCTGAACTCAGAGTCCAAAGTACGCATGTAGCGTTCACACGCGACTTTGTTGGTAATAATGGCAGGAGGGACTGACAGTCGCTTGTAGTGACTATACATTTGAAGGCCGAAACGCTTCAAATCTCCCTCATCCGTTATTTTGATTCCATGGTTCTCGCGACAGAGTCTGTCTAGATCTGCCATGGTCCCTGTTTTTTGCTTGGACACCTCAGGGTATCCTTTTAAGATTTCGGCCTCGAACTCCGCGACAGTTTTCGTGTTGTCGGAATAGGTATCGAGACCTTCCCATACATCCATCACTTGCCGCGACGGCAAATAACGAATGTACATGCTTTTTGCTTGTTTGACATCTGTGATGCCTCCATCCTCCACGAGTTGCGCGCAGTGACGCAAATATGCCTCAATCGACAGAGGATCCTTTTCATCAAGTATAGGTCTACTTGTGTCCCAAGGTTGAGGGATTTTGAACCCAGTCTTTGGAGCCATAGTTGTCGCGACTGAAGTCACAGGGGAAGTAGGGATGTTGTTAGAATTTGTGTTTGTAGCGGTGACGCTACTAGACAATTCTGAGAGGAAACTTTAGAAGCCCCTCGCGGTGGGCTCCAGATGAAATGCTGAGGGCGCGCTCACAAGTGAATCTACTATGAAAGTCAACCCAAATATAAACACGTTCACACTCCACTATAGTCAGATGGTTTTTGAGCCTAAGAGGGTACCAAAAGTGGTCATTTTTTAGCCTTAAGAGGGTCCAAGACCACTCAGTGGTCTCAGACCATTCACCTTTTTGGGCACAACCACCCATCCCAATGCAGTAGCACCCCCTATTTTGACTGTTGAAAAGGGTGGTCTCAACCATTTGTTGGCCTGTGGTTGCACCCACCTCAGGTCAATTGATGGTCCTCACTGCATATGGTTGCAACCACCCTGTGATCATGCATTTGTGATTGCTCCAATTAGCCTTGTGGGCTGCTTGTATGGGCTGTTCAGCTTGTAGATGAGTACAATGGGGGTGCATCCAGCCCATCCCAAGAGGAGGATGCTGTCTCCAGCCCCAGGGCCGGCCGTAGGCCGGGGGAAAAAAAATTCTTGAATGCTCCAATTAGCCTTGCAGGCTGCTTGGATGGGCTGTTCAGCTTGTAGATGCATACAATGGGGGTGCACTCAGCCCATCCTGAAAGGGGGATGCACTATCCAGCCCCAGGGCCGGCCGTAGGCCGGGGAAAAAAAAAATTCCCAGATGCTCCAATTAGCCTTGCAGGTTGCTTGTATGGGCTGTTCAGCTTGTAGACAAGTACAATGGGGGCGCATCAAGATCATACTGAGTGGAGGGTGCTGTATCTGGCCCCACAGCTAGCTGTAGGCCGGAATAGAAAATCACCCTTTGCTGGCTCGAGTGGGTGGTTGCAACCACCACAGGGGCTGGATGTGGTCAGAACCCACCTTGGACAGTACCCATCCATACCTACTTAGGTCAATTAGTAAATGGTGGATAATTGACCTAAGCAGGACCTGGGCATTGGGAACCAGAATGCTTGGGACCGTTGGGTGGGCCCATGGATACTCCGTGGGGACATCAGTGTGCCGAGTTGGGACCATGGGCGGGCCCGCCTGGGGAGGGGTGTCAGGGGGTCCGGCGCGTAGCGCCGGGGAAAAATTGCATTTTTGGCATGCATTTTTGGGCTGTTGGAGCTGGGAGACTACATATGGGTAGCTATGGTCTGGGGGTACCACCTCAGGTCATTTCTACATAGGTAAAGCAAGCTTGCAGTGTGCAATGCTGTGGGGAAAAATTGTATTTTTGGGGTGCGTTTCTCAGCCATTGAAGCTGGGACACCATGTACTGGTAGCTATGGTCTCAGCTAACACCCCAGTGCATTTCCACGTAGGTACGGCAAGCTGGGGCACATGGGGGCGCGTAGCAGGCTATGATAAGATTAAAAAGATATCAATGATCATATTGCAAATGAACTCACGGGGAAGTGGCTTGGCAAGCGTGTCGACTTGTTTCTTATGCTGACTTCTGAGAAGCTCCATTTCAATCTTCAGCCCTCCATCTGCGCGGTTCTTGAGAATCTCATCCAAGCCCGCCTGTGCATGGCGGTGATGGTCGGCACAGTCTAAGTAACGGCGCGCCAACCAACTGCCTAGTTTCTTCAGGTTGTTCTTATGCAAGCGAACTATCTGTGCGTCCAATGTGTAACGTCGCTTATGATACTGTGAAAATGTAAGCGACGTTATACAGAGAAGGAAATACATCCAACTTACACCACAAACCCGCAGGTAAGATACCAAATGGCTCAAGGAATGCCAGAATCGCTCTAGCCCTTCACCGTCCGAATACCCAAAAAGAGTTCTGCGCCTCGGATGGTAAGTGGCTTGGCAAGCTGCGCCATGACCATAAGAATGGAGCACGGAAACAGCCCATTGCATGCGTTCCATGTATTCGGGGGGAAGGAAACCGTATTTGCATGCAGATCGCTGCAACTGGCAAGCGATATCATACAGGAATCCGATCACGAAATGGCGGGGCAAGTGCTGGAAAATGGCTTCCAACAACGCAAACATATAGAACTGCCTCTCGCCTGGCGTTTTGATGTTGGCCAAAAAGAGGAGGTTGTCGTGGCGACAGGATATACCCATCAAGCCCTTGTCGTCAAAGAAGGCAGAGTTGACTGTCGTCCTGGCCTCATCGGCGGCGGCAAACGAACGCTCGCATTCGTTGAGCACAGAACGGGGGAGAGGGATGTCCGGTGCCTCAATAACATCATCCCCTTCAGGTGCAGCAGCCTTGGACGCAGCCTTGTGTGGCCGGATTCCTTCCACCCATTCGGCCATACCCGCAGTCAGATCATCAGAAACGAATGAGGATTCGGGGTGGCTGCGCGATGGATCCCGCCTGCCCCGATCCTTGTTCCGCTTTTGCGTGAAATTGGCATCGCCGCAAAGAATGCAAGCCAATGCCAATCGTGCATCTTCCCATTTGCCGCCAAAACAGGCAGGGCACCGACTGCGCAGATACTCGCTCGGTCGATCCCGCTCTGGCGGAGGCGCAAATGGATACCCGTTCCTATCATCCTGGCCTGAAGAGGATGCCGCAGGGGATGAGGGTGGGAGGGACAATGCTGATGGACGAGCTGGTGATGTCATTGGTGCTGTGGAGGACGCAGGAGGGGAGGAGGGAGGGAATGATGCACGAGCTGGTGACAACCTGCGCGAAGGAGGCGCTGAGGAAGTAGGTAATGGGTAGTGCGTTTGCCGGCTGCGCTTAGTCAGGGATATGGGCAGGGAGGAGTCAAATATATCTCGGCCACGTTTGCGAGGCAAGGGATTGGGTGTCTGGTCTGGAGGAACAAGATGCGCAACGATGGGTGTGGCAGGACGTTTGTCCTGAGTCTTCCCCTTCTCCTCCGCGACGAGATCCTCCCGAATCGCATCCAGGATGTGGTCCAGTTGGTGGTTAACCTGATGACGTAGAAAGTTATACCACTCATGGGCGTTGCTGAACTGTCTTCGAATCGCGTCCTGGACAAGACCAGATCATCAGTTACTGTGAAGATGGACTGCCAGTAGGACTCACCCGATTTGGCAATTTGAATCCCAAGGTATCCAGACAGCTCTCAACGGATTTCGTGAAGGCTCGGTTGTTTGGAGCCATGTTGAGAGAGAGCTCTGACGCGAATTCCAAGAGCCGCATATCGACACCCAGTCGAGGCTCCACCGGAGAACTAGGGAAGAATCCCCGTGAAACCAGCTGGTGCGTCGCGCGACAGCATGGGCATGTGTTGAGAGTAACTTCCTCAATCTCTGCCTCGGTCGTCAGTATTCATATTGCCACTCAGCAAACTCGAAAACGCACCATGCCATGTGAGCAGAAAAACCTTCAACTCTCTTTGCACCCCGCACTTGCAAGGCCTGGAGAGCGCAACGGCGTTCTCCATATTCCGTAGCTGAGTTGTGCGATGCAGTAGGTCGAGGAAGATGGGTCGGAGCTGGGGTATGACCTTGGATATCCACGCATTCGCTTGATCCTGCCGCATCCTGGCGTGGCGTGTGGAAGCAGGCTCTGCATTTGTTTGACAATCCTCCTGCGTAGCGAAGTCATCCCGGTCGACGGGAGAAGTTGGCTGAGCGGATTGTGATCCTTCGTCATTGTGTGCGCCCACCGAGAATCCGCCTTGGCCTGGCCTCGCTGGCACAAACAACTGGGACAACGTCGTCCCATCGGAGAGGACGGCCAGGGAATCCTGCCGAGAACGACGGCGATAGTGGGCGCGGCGTGAATCTATGGATATATCGTACGTTGGCTTCGACTTTTTCTTGCCTGACAGCCTCGGGCGATATGACATGGTGAGTGGCTATTCATCGGATTAGCTTCGCTGCCAGAAGTGTACGCGAATGAGCTTCGCACCGGTTACACAAACGGTCAGAGCACCCCACGCTCCTCACAAAATCCTGCGTAGCCCGCACCCACGCGACACACGGCGACAGTGGCCGTTTTTCTCTGTGAGATCTTTCAGTTCTGCAATGTGTGCAGTATTTTTCGTTCCCTACAAGGTATAATGTATCTATGGACTAAACTACTCGTGAGATGTTCGAAAAGACCGCCTCCCGCCCAATGTAAGTTGATGGGCGGGAGCAAGAGAAGTAGTCATCAACACCTCGTGACAAGCCCGATTTGGAGGCCAATTGATGGTTTTTCTGCGGCAGATGGGATGCCGCAGAAAAACCATCAATTGGCCTCCAAATCGGGCTTGTCGATAAGTGCGATCACTTTCACTTCTTGTTCCTGGCCACATCTATCCCGCGTAAGTCACCCTCCTCACTATCGGTAGTCAGTATATACTGTTCAAATAAACGAATTGGGACTTAACAAAGCCCGTTCCCAATGATTATAAGACCAAGTACTCAGAGAAATAGAAATTACGCAAGGCGCCGTGGTCGGAGCATTGAGCTTACCCGTTTGCAGAGTCTTGCTGAGATAGAAGGCGAGATGAGGAAGCGGGAGGAGGAAGAGGAGCTGCATCTGCCCAATGAATCTGTGGAGGACGAACCCGAGTTTGTGGGTGTCGGATGGTCAAAGCCTCGCGACCCGCTTTTCTTGCCTGACGAAGAGGTGCGTATTGTCCTAACTTTTTGCCTCTTCTATACTCACTGAGTCGGCGTAGGCGAAACTAGAAGCTCCGAGTCCTTCTCGCTCTGCGTCTCCCAATCCCCGCATAAGTCCTACCCCTGCTCCGCGATTGGCGCATGAGCCTGTATTCGCCATCCTCGAACGCTCCCCGACCCCGCCCGCGCTCTCTTTCTCGTTAGCGGATGCCGGAAGACTGGATTCCGGGCTGGATCTGGATGCGGAGCCATTGGAGAAGGAGGATTTGCAGCCTCAATCTCGATCTTCCACTGCCTCGGCTCAAGATTCCCGCCGGAAGAGGCACCGCACAACTTCTCAGGTACGCTCCTCAAAGCCATTCCATTCCCTTCTGACTCCAGAGTCAGAAGGAGCGCTATCGAAACGCTGCTCGTGCTTTCATTCTGGATCAAGCAGAGGAAGCGCAGGCCAGTTCTGACGAAGAAGATGATGAGGGAGATTTGGAAGGTTTCATTGTGAATGACTGCTCAGGAAATCAAGCACGCAGACAGCGAGCAGATGTGCCGGGGGATACAATGATCGACCCACTCTCCCTTGCCGAGCAAGAGAGGATCGAGAATGAGCGGGAAGCAGCTCGTTTCTCCCGCCGGCTGCAGACCTCCTCCCGACTCATCAGCATCGATTTGCCCGACTACGTCAGTCGCCACCAGTACCCCTCCGATGAGAGAAATCCCGGCATTCCCCTGGATCGTCTTCCGGACGACAGCACCGATCCCCTTTTGTATCCGCTCACCGTGCCGGCGGGTCTCGAGCACAACCTGCTTGTATATCTCACCAACTTCTCCTGCACCATTTCGGTCTTTTATTCCCATGAACGGTCCGGACTTGTGTATACTGAGACACAAGATACGGCGGGTCTCCGGAGAGTGACCAGAAGATGGAGAAATGGGTCATGCCCGGAGACACAAGTTCGCTCTCCCTTGCCGGCTTTGGAGAAGATGCATGTCATCAAGATTCGCGTCGCCGAGAGCGTCAGTCCAGATGATTGCGTTGGAGCGTGGGTTCGTCCTGTGTCTGGTCGTCATTTGGGGGATCTGGCGCTCCGTCACAGTCAGACCGAGTGTCTGGTGGTGCCGCGCCTTCCAGACCCCAACAACACTGCTGGCACAATCCGGCGACTTTTCAGTCCACAATACATCCATTCCCAATCCCCAGAAGTGGTGATTCATTCCCGAGGCAATCGCTGGGAGTGGAATGGTCGGATCTTTCTCAAGAGCGGCCTCGAAGTGTTGCCCGCCACTTCTCCGCGTTCCTTTGCCCTGAAACCTCGCCCGCCCACTGAAGCTGAACTCGGCTTCTTCCGAGACAGTCGGGAATCCATGTGCAATGTTACATCTGTGGAAGATCCACAGTTGGCATTGCAGGAGGGTGACTGGGTGGTTGTAGTTGATAACAGCGAGGACAGAGGGAAAGCTGGAGTTATTGTCTGCATTCCTACTCGGAAACATGGTCGAACGCGAGTGGCAGCAGTTTTGCCGCATTACAACGGGGTCGAAGAAATCACAGCTGTCACATTATCTCGTGAAGACCTTCTTGTTGTTCCACTGGCATCTCTTGCTCGCCACATCCTATCTCCCCACAGACCATTCGATATCCGGTCCCGCCTCAAGATTGTTTCTTCGAGTCTCTTTGGCGGAATCGGCCATGCAATTGACTCTCATTCCAACACAGGCTACATCGATTTCCGCGGACATAGCGTTGAAGGCAATGACCTGACCATGACCATTCCATGGTCTGAGTGCGTTCTCGACTTCCGCGTCGGGGATGTAGTGGAAATCGTCAGCGGACCGTCTCAGGGCACATCGGGCTTCATTCTGGATCTTCATATCGGCGGCTTCGTTGATATATATCCAGTATGTGCTCCTGCTTCCTCTTACATACAGATGCTGACCTAGCCGCTAGTGCACAGCAGGGGATGTGCAAGCACAATTGCATGGCACGTTTTCTCCGACTGAGTCCTTGGTGCATGATATCTCAATCGCCGGCCGTGAATCATTGAATGTAAGAATGAAAACATGCCAATGACTTCGTCCGATTGATAATTGACACAGCTCCGAGTTCCCACCTTCTGTATCAGAACGATCCCATCCAACGACAAGGGCTATCAATTCTCGCTCCAAACTGGATGGCAGTCGAGGAAAGTAGCAGAGGATTTCGTCTCATCCATCGTGGAAAGGCACAAGATCCTGGCCGCTTCTGAGGAGCAGCTCATGTATACAGGACACGGGTATGTGGGGCAGCGCGTCATGATCATCGGCAAGCATGATCTCAAGGGACGAACGGGTGTTGTTGTTGGGTATTCGTACCTCAAAACATCGGCACCACCGGAAAGAGAGCATGCCCTTTCCGGCTCGTCCGAGGGCAAGATCCTTCAACCGCTCAAGTCTCAGGATGTACAATTGAGTGTTTCCATGGACCTGGGAGGAGAAATCCGAGTTGCGATGAAGCAAGTTGTCCATCCCGAGTGAGTTCATTAAGAATTACATTGACATGCGATCTAAACGCAATAGGGCTCTGATACCTCTGCGTCAGGCTATGCATTGGAGAAACCTCCGAGATGCATTGGGTGCCAGGGCCGAACGCAACAAAACGCCGGAGCCTGTGGCCATTACCCAATCTTGGATGGACGAGATAGTTGAGAGCAAAGTCCCTGAGGATAACGAGCTCTGGCTGGCCGATACTCGATTCCTGACGAAACGGCTCGACCTCAGGGTAGTTTCCGAGGCTGCGCTCAAAGCCATTCAAGTCCGTGCTCAGGCGGCCGTCAACGGAAGGAAGAGCCGACTGTTTTCCAAGTTCAATGCAAGGACTTTCCAGCACGCGAACATGGAGGGGGTCCTGCATACCAATCAGCGACATTCTATGACAGCTGCCGATTTGAAGCTGCATTTTGTCAAGTTGCGCATCGGCCGTTTCGATGATGCCTTGGTTCCAGCTCAGGGGTTGCTACCAGTCAGGACACTCAATGGAGCCTGCATCAGCGCCATTCGCGAGCGCGTGATTATCATTGGGTGTGACCATTTGGGGTCTATGACTGATGTCGGACAATATGCGGAGGTCATGCCAAGCGATGTGCCCAACCCCAAACACGTTCAAGTTCGATTCGCAGCTGGAGCCGACGGCATGGGGAATAGAAGCAATTTCTTCCCCTTGTCATCCCTTTGTCTTGCCAAAAACGAGACGATCTCGAGTCTGCATCTCTTATCGACCAATTTCGATATCGGGGTACTGGGAGCGCCATCGGCGGCAGGATAAGAGTGACAATGCGGAGGTTTTTTTGTACAATCTAGATTCATACATACCTCAGACAATGCAAAATCGCTTCGATCAGCGCCATGCCGAAGATGCCGTCCCATGTACCATCAATCTGACAGGAAATCAGGCACTTTGTCAGGACACGTGTTCAATACTTCTTTTCGTCAACATGCATGTACGGCCTGTGTGTCGGGCGCTCTCACTGCCAGGGCGCGATATACCGGCGCTTTGACCATCAGGGTGCTATATAAGTACTACTAGTATACCATCCATGTAAAGTTCATACACATGTGGGCGGTGAAAAGACACGAGATCAAGGATAAGACTTCCTTGAGACTTCCACAAGCGAAGAACAATATGGCGTGTAAGCGCGCATCCCCGCGAGGATGAAGATGATGCTCAGAAACTCGCAGGAGCCACATGCACACCATGGATCGATTGGAATAGCCGAAGGACAATGCAGCGCTGGAATCGAGATCTAGGCAATGGACGGATTGGTGCGCGCACTCGTTTTTCTCAAATACCTGCAGTTGTAACGTGGCCACAGAGGTCTTTTCCTTGCCCTCTCCCGACCCAGTTTCCCAACCCGTCCCTGCATCGCCTTCCCTGCACGCTATGCGTCGTTCTAAGCGAAATGCGGGCATCAACGCTCCTCCAATCCCCGTGGAAGTGCCTCGCGCCGATGCGGAGAAAGCGTGGCGGCGCCGGAGGCAGGAACAAAAAGACACGCAAGCAGCACTGGATGCCCAAACTCCGCCGCAGACAGCTACAGGAAGTCACGCCAGCGACGCTCAGAGATCCAAGGTATGCCGTCCTCGATCCGTCAATAATGTGATTTTCTCACACATGGATTAGCGTAAACGACGTGAGCAGGAGTCTACCCCACCGGAGGATGGAGAGCAAGTGGAAGCTGCATCGGAGAACGTATCCGTATCGGTGAGTCCGTGGTGGTTCCTGCTCATGACTGACTGACAGCTCCCCCAGTCGGTCGGTGCTCACAGGTCAAAGAACACCGAGGGTGTGGCTCTCAATGTGGTGAGTGATCCTGTGGATGCGTCCTACCGAAACTCACATTCATCAGAATGAGACGCCAGAAGTCGAACCGGCAGTCAAGCCCCGCCGCAAACCGAAGATGCCGCAGCCTGTATCTCACGTACGCAACTTGCGTGATCTTCTATGCGCTTGATCTCATGGCATTGTGTTAGGAATCCGCGCAATTGGAGCAACGCCCCATACCAGAGATGCAGGAGAAGGAGACTGTCACTTCTGTGAGCCCAAATCCCTCACCATAGCTCGCTTGATATATTTCTAATGCCTCATGCAGGATGTCGAGATGCTGGACGCGTCAGCGGAGAATTTTGTTGAGGAACGAGCGGAGGTAGGCGCTCCTGCGCTCAACGCGCCAGTCACGAGTCTCACGGGCTTGTAGGATGCGGAAATGGAGGATGCGACAAGTCTAAGCCTGTCGCAGTCTCGTGCGCAGGTTTATCCTGCAGCGAGCAGGGAAGAAATGAAACGGCGCGCCTTGGGTGAGCATGCACGCGCGCTGGCGACCGACACTGCGCCTACCACTCCATTGCCATCGGCAACGCACTCACTACAGTCAGACGGGTAACTAGGCCTCTAAGGGGCGTCATGACGAAAGTGGGACCCACCTTAGAGGCCAGTTTTCAGCATAGCTACCACTGTGGTATGTACCAGTCTGGTATCTACCTGAGTGCAGGTATGTACCTGCGACTGGTGGGTGGGACCCCAGCTGGCAGCCGGGGGCAAAAAATGCATTTTTGGGGCCGTTTCTAGGCTGTTTTGGCTGATTGTTTGAGCATTCTGCCAGGCTAGGTTTACCCATTTTTTGTGCAAAACTTTGATCTACATCATTTCTGAAGTGATCCCATCATGGGAACCATTTTGGATGCTGCGCTCCAACCAGTGATCTGATCACCCATGTGTGTAGATGAAAGTTGTTCAGTTTTGTAAGGGCTACAACTTTGGTTTCTCATCACTTTCTTTGTCAGCATCAATCACATGCTCTACTGCCACGGCAAATGGCTCTGTTTTTGATTGCGCATCAATTTTTGATGGTGCCAATGATGCCAGTTCCAATCTCATCTTATCTTTCAGACCTAGATTGACATTTGGTGCTTACTCAATGGTGGTCCCTGATAATCAAATCCCAGAGAAATCTAATCTTGATGTGGCTGTGTGTGATTGGATCAATAATGTGGCACAGCTTCCATTTTAGGTTGCATGTTCAACTTACATAATCTCAATTGAACATATTGGACATGTGACTTCCTTTTGGGGATATTTTGATGCAACTTATAGCAACCCAAAAAGGAAATTTCCCTCAATTTTGCAATAGCACATGCTCATATTGTGGGTTTCTTCTCAGCTCTTTAGGATATATTCTCTTATGTGATTCCTTGCACTTGTGCTCTTCAAAACTTCTACACTGTTGTTTAATGCCTCTATATCCTAATTCTTTCAATGATACCCTATATGACTTTCATTGACAACACATACTTCTCTATGCATATTCCTATTTATTTCTAATGTTTTATGCCTTTCAAGTAATGTGTTGCTGTCCTGGATTACATAGTAGAGCCAGCCATTGCATATATATATGGATACTAACCATTGCCTACCCATCCTGCTTTACCACATAACCGGCTATTTCTACACCCCCAATTTACATGAGTCATGCCTTCATTGTTACAAAGAAGAGTTATTGAGATTAACATGAACATAGAAACAAAGAATACAGTGAAAGCAATGGTCACAGGTGGGAAATCAAAGTGCCCTTTGTAATGCAGATATTCTTGCTTCAGTAACTCAAAGCAATGTTTCACTTTATTGTAGCAACCAATTCGAAGATTTTTCGCACTTCATTGATCTGAAAATGAGGCTGTATCTATTTCATTCAGGTGCATCTGGTTTTATATTGCAAGGTGAATAGGGACCCTTTGGATGGGTTTCATGCTCTCTGCAACATTGCAATGAGCTTTCACAGTGATAATCTTCCAGATTATGACATCTATGGCAAGGAAACACAAAAAGACCACATGAAATTGAATTAGTGTGTCTCAACAAGATTCAGATATTCAACCAATGCAAGTTCGAAAAAAATCGCACTTTTCTGTCTGCCTCTGCAATAGATGTCATAATCTGGAAGATTATCACTGTGAAAGCTCATTGCAATGTTGCAGAGAGCATGAAACCCATCCAAAGGGTCCCTATTCACCTTGCAATATAAAACCAGATGCACCTGAATGAAATAGATACAGCCTCATTTTCAGATCAATGAAGTGCGAAAAATCTTCGAATTGGTTGCTACAATAAAGTGAAACATTGCTTTGAGTTACTGAAGCAAGAATATCTGCATTACAAAGGGCACTTTGATTTCCCACCTGTGACCATTGCTTTCACTGTATTCTTTGTTTCTATGTTCATGTTAATCTCAATAACTCTTCTTTGTAACAATGAAGGCATGACTCATGTAAATTGGGGGTGTAGAAATAGCCGGTTATGTGGTAAAGCAGGATGGGTAGGCAATGGTTAGTATCCATATATATATGCAATGGCTGGCTCTACTATGTAATCCAGGACAGCAACACATTACTTGAAAGGCATAAAACATTAGAAATAAATAGGAATATGCATAGAGAAGTATGTGTTGTCAATGAAAGTCATATAGGGTATCATTGAAAGAATTAGGATATAGAGGCATTAAACAACAGTGTAGAAGTTTTGAAGAGCACAAGTGCAAGGAATCACATAAGAGAATATATCCTAAAGAGCTGAGAAGAAACCCACAATATGAGCATGTGCTATTGCAAAATTGAGGCAAATTTCCTTTTTGGGTTGCTATAAGTTGCATCAAAATATCCCCAAAAGGAAGTCACATGTCCAATATGTTCAATTGAGATTATGTAAGTTGAACATGCAACCTAAAATGGAAGCTGTGCCACATTATTGATCCAATCACACACAGCCACATCAAGATTAGATTTCTCTGGGATTTGATTATCAGGGACCACCATTGAGTAAGCACCAAATGTCAATCTAGGTCTGAAAGATAAGATGAGATTGGAACTGGCATCATTGGCACCATCAAAAATTGATGCGCAATCAAAAACAGAGCCATTTGCCGTGGCAGTAGAGCATGTGATTGATGCTGACAAAGAAAGTGATGAGAAACCAAAGTTGTAGCCCTTACAAAACTGAACAACTTTCATCTACACACATGGGTGATCAGATCACTGGTTGGAGCGCAGCATCCAAAATGGTTCCCATGATGGGATCACTTCAGAAATGATGTAGATCAAAGTTTTGCACAAAAAATGGGTAAACCTAGCCTGGCAGAATGCTCAAACAATCAGCCAAAACAGCCTAGAAACGGCCCCAAAAATGCATTTTTTGCCCCCGGCTGCCAGCTGGGGTCCCACCCACCAGTCGCAGGTACATACCTGCACTCAGGTAGATACCAGACTGGTACATACCACAGTGGTAGCTATGCTGAAAACTGGCCTCTAAGGTGGGTCCCACTTTCGTCATGACGCCCCTTAGAGGCCTAGTTACCCGTCTGACTGTAGTGACGCACTCTAGTCCAGCGATGATGACCACCGAACAGAAGGAGGCGCTCGAGGCACAACGGAAGGAGCGGCATCGGATACTCAAGGAGCGCGCAGCTTCGATGCTGCGAAGGGCATCCGCGGCCTCCGCCATCGCCGCACTCGATCTCCCCTCCTCTTCCTTGCCGCTGCACTCCGCCAGTTCTTTGAACTCGCGAGACCAATCCATTGACTCGGCTAGTTCCCGGCAGGATCCTCCATCCTCCGATGAGGATGAAGTTGTGCCTTCGCCTTCATCGGTGCCTGCTGGTCAAACTCAGGATCTGCCACTCCCCGATGGCGGACGTCCTCGCCGCCACGCGACAAGGATTGCGAATGCCATCGTTCTCGATAAGGACGATGATGGCATGGACAGTGGTGATTCCGCCGACGAATATAGGTCCCCCCGTGAACTAGAGGAGATCAAACAGGCGAAGCTTGCGGAGTTGCAACAGCGACGCCAACTCCCCGACGAGTACTGCCCGCAACCTCAGCGCAACAGCACTCCACCAGCAGAGATGGCGGTCAACGAGGGGGGCGGGACCATGGACGGTGGCTCTGTTGTCAAGCAGTATCGACGCGGGCCACGGCCTCAAGCGTTCAAGGACGAGGCCCGTGGCATTCGGCAGGAGTTTGATCGCAATGTTGAAGCGCTAGCCGCCAAGTACAACTACCCACTTGCGACTGCGCGTGGCGAGGTGTTGGGGGAACCGAAGAAGGAGCGGAAGAAGAACAACTGGAACCTCTTCCAAAGCTTCTACAGTAACAAGATCATGCCAAAGCCGGACAATGGTGCGTTTTTCGTTCGAATGTCTGACGTCGCTTTCTGACGCGTGTTCAGTGAAGATAACGGATTGGACGAGGGACACTGTCCGCCCGGAGTACAAGAGCCGCTTGCAATCACTCCCCTCAGACCAACGCGAGGACCCTGAGGCGCTCGAGGAGCTCTTTGCGGATATGTACAAGTGGTTTGAAGGCGCGTTGGAGGGCGCTGTTGTGCAACTGCGTCAGGACGGGAAATTTGGGAAGATGGGCATCAAAGCAGCACGGGAGCTGTCCAAACTGGTGCGTCTCGCTCATCTGGTTCTGACTTGTGGCGGAGCTGAATGTATCATACAGGCTCAGAACATCTTCGAACGCCTGGGTCTGCACGGCTTTGGCGTCCTTATTGACGCTGATGGTCAGGCAAGCTGCCATTGGGGCGGCTCCCCGCTCTATCTCGAATTGCTCAAGAAGTACAAGCCCGCAATGTTCCTGCAGCTGAAGGATTATGAGGCGATGGTCCGGTGGGTCTATGTCTCCCTTGTCACTTCAGATATATTGGACTGACTGCATTTCAGGATGATCCTGTTGGAGCGCCAAGGCCTGAGCTCTAACATTCTTCGCATTCGGTCCGCTGCCTCCGACGATGATGGCGATGACGGCGAAGAGGATGAGGAGGCAGACCCGAAAGGCAAAGGCAAGAACCCAGACTCACGTGACTCTGGCCGAGCGCGATTCTCCATGTTCATGCGACAGGAAGTTTGTAAGCCGCCATCGCGCAGATTCTGGCACGCATGCTGACTTCTGGCTTGTTACAGCTGATGTGTTGTTGACCGATATGAAGACCGTGAATTGGACCTGGAATCTATCGGAGATGGCGTATCGCTACAAGATCATTTCCATGAACTGGCCTGAAGGTTTCGCTCTGCCAAAAACGGGGCACTGGAAGGCATCTGTTCCTCTTCTTGCCAAAGTCCTCCCTCCGTTGGAAGCGCGTTGGAACACACAACTTTCAGACGCTCGAGATGATGATGATGCAGACACTTTAAAGCGTAAGGAAGCCCAGGAGGAGATGGCGAGCAACGCAATTTATTGTGAATTATGGACAGAGGGTGCGTTTTCTTACTACTCATCGTCTTGTACCAATATTCAAGGATGATGCAGAGCAGAAGGCCGCCGATGACGTCACCCTGGGCAAGATGCCCGTTGTTCTCTCCCTGAAGGGCGATGTCCTCGCCTTGCTAGGAGATTCACCCAAGTTCAAGAAGGACAAGGCGGCTCGAGTGGAGGCGGCGAAGCGCGCAGAGGAGAAGCTTTTCAAGAAGCTGCGCGAGGAGACGTTGAAACGTGCGAAGGAGGCGGAGAAAAGAGTGTCCGATGTTCGCTCCCCGTCCCCTCCGACTCGCGCTCCTGCAGCTCCTGCCCCGCGGCCTCGTGCTCCGACATCAAACAGCTCCAATGCTGTGGCATCTTCCAGTCTCTCCAACTCGGCCCACCTGCCTGTTCCGACTGTGGCTGCCACTGCTTCATCTTCATCTTCCGGCGCTTCTCTGCCAAATGCAGCTAAGGCCCGTTTGGCCAAACTGCTGGGAAACGCAACGAGGGATATTGCGGGCCCCGGTGAATACTTGTGTCGGTTTTGGTTTTCCGATACCAACCAGGCATCGGCGACGTTTGTTGCCAGTGCAATGCGACCACGCATCCCGGAGGATGGGCCAGAGGAAGAGGATATCCTGCAGCTCGGGATACAAGTGTATTTCGAGCCGGGTGGATGGACCCACATCGATGAGGTGGCCATTCCCGCGGCCCGCCATCAAGCTCGTTACGCGGACATCATTGAAAAGGTGCTCGCGGAGTTTGTGGAGACTGATTAGATGCTCATGTATATCTATCTCACTTGCTTTCCTAACGACTTGTTACTTGTATATCTCCTTCCGATTGTATCTCCCCCCCTTCTCATGTTACGATATCTATCTCACTTGCTTTCCTAACGACTTGTTACTTGTATATCTCCTTCCGATTGTATCTCCCCCCCTTCTCATGTTACGATATCTATCTCACTTGCTTTCCTAACAACTTGTTACTTGTATATCTCCTGATTGGATCTCCCCCCTTCTCATCTTACATACTTTCCCTAACGACTTCATCTTTGGTGCTGATCAATGCTGGGTTCTTGTTATACATACCTTTCCTAACGACTTGATGTTTGTTACTTATCACATGGACTTACATGTCGTCCCCTTTTATTTTACTTGTTGCTTTAGGTTCAGTGCAAAAGATTTGCCTGCTTTGTGTAGAGATAGAGCTGTGATCTGTGATGGTTCTAGTTGTTCTCGTCAGGTGCAGTCACGGGCGGCCCCGCTGGTTAAATTCAATTGCCCAGGGCGGGCCCCGCAATGTATCAAACGAGCCCGGGTGTCCCCAATGTCGGGCGTCCCCAGACTTATTGTAATAGCTGCTGGTCGTCCCCGGGAACATTGCGGGCGGCCCCACCGGTTATATGTTATTACCTTGGGCGGGCCCCACAATGTATCAAATGAGCTCGGGCGTCCCCAATGTTGGGCGTCCCCAGATTTGGGCGTCCCCCAGACTTGCTGTGAATGTGGCCGGTCGGCCCCGGGAACGTTGCGCAACATCGTGGGCGGTCCCCTAGCGGCTCAAGAATGGCTGGGCGGTCCCCATGCTTTAGTGATTAAGCCCGGGCGGACCCAGTGGTGGCGCAGAGCTGGGCGGTCCCGGGATCTGATGTGACATTTGGGGCCGCCCACCCGCCGAGGGCTGTGTCCTGGGCGGTCCCCGCGCTTTAGTGATCACGCCCGGGCGGGCCCGGTGGTGGCGCAGAACTGGGCGGCCCCCGGGAGAACAAGAATTGACTTGACTGCATTAACTCAGGATTTGACCAGCGAAGGTGTCTGATTTGATTTCAGCATGTGTCACATTTGATTCAAGTACAGGGAAGTTGAAAGTGACCTGGAATCTTAGTGGGAATTTGACCTCATTTCCTATGTAACTAATAACTGATAGCGGGTCTGAAATGTGGGTACATGAATATCATACTGAACATATTTTTTGCATGGCATGTACATGACTGCATTTTTTCCACATTTTTTTGCATTCAAATATCTGATACATAGCCACTTACACTAGTACACAGTGTCCCAACTCCAACAACTGAAAAACGCGTGGCAAAAATGTTTTTTTTTGCCTGCTACGCGCCCCCATGTGCCCCAGCTTGCCGTACCTACGTGGAAATGCACTGGGGTGTTAGCTGAGACCATAGCTACCAGTACATGGTGTCCCAGCTTCAATGGCTGAGAAACGCACCCCAAAAATACAATTTTTCCCCACAGCATTGCACACTGCAAGCTTGCTTTACCTATGTAGAAATGACCTGAGGTGGTACCCCCAGACCATAGCTACCCATATGTAGTCTCCCAGCTCCAACAGCCCAAAAATGCATGCCAAAAATGCAATTTTTCCCCGGCGCTACGCGCCGGACCCCCTGACACCCCTCCCCAGGCGGGCCCGCCCATGGTCCCAACTCGGCACACTGATGTCCCCACGGAGTATCCATGGGCCCACCCAACGGTCCCAAGCATTCTGGTTCCCAATGCCCAGGTCCTGCTTAGGTCAATTATCCACCATTTACTAATTGACCTAAGTAGGTATGGATGGGTACTGTCCAAGGTGCAGAACCATCCTGTTCTCATGCATTTGTGAATGCTCCGTTTACCCTTTTAGGCTGCCTGTATGGGTGTTTCAGCTTGTATACAAGAACCTTGAGGGTGCATTCAGTGTATGCGCAAGAGCAAATGCTATATTTGAGCCCACAGCTGGCCATAAGCCAGGAAAGAAATAATTTATGAATGCTCCAATTACCCTTGTTGGCTGCTTGTATGCGTGTTTGACCTTGTATAGAAGTACACTCAGAATTGCTCATTTTTGGCACATTCTGGGAAACTTGGCCAGGATTGAATATCATATGGGGTATTGTCTAAAAAAGAAATGTTGATTTCTCATCATGTTCTATACCAGCATCAGTCACATACTTCACTGCCAAGTGGAATAGCACAGCTTTTGATTGCACATCAATTTTTGATGATGCTAATGATGTAACACAAATTTATAATCAGTTCAACAGTTACATGTCACAAAAGCCCTGACGAGGAAGAAATACAATAATTTGTCACAGGTCACAAGTCAAGGTGACAATTTCATTTTTTGGTTCCTCAGATTGGGTCTGCATCATGTCTGGTCATTAATATTGGGTGTTTCTGGATTTTTGAGGCCGGATTTTACCACCTGACAATTCTTTTGTCTTGTCACAGATCACAGACCTAGCTGACAGATTGACAAATTAGTGTCAGATGTCACTTGTAACAAGGGTGGCAAACTGATTATAAAGTTACAGTAAATCCTAATCTCATCTTAACTGTCAGACCCTGATTGACATCATCTGCTTACTCAATTTATGCTCATGTTGTTGGTTCTCTCTTAGCCATTCAGGGGATATTCTTCCATGCAATCACTTACATTTGTGCTCTTCCAAGCCAATACACTGTTGTACAATGCCTCCATGCTCTAATTTGTTTATTGATATCCTACATAGCTTTCAATGACAGCACATGTTTCTTTAGGCATATCCCTCTTCCTTTCTAACACTGTGTGCTTCTCTAGCAATGCGCTGCTGTCTTATATCACATAGTAGAGCCAGCCATTGAAGGAACAGAAAAAGCAGTGGAAGCAAGGGTAACAGGTAGAAGTGAAAGTCACTCTTGTAATGCAGATATCCTTGCTTCAGTCACCCTAAGCAATGTGCTACTCCATTACAGTAAGCTATTTGGGAATTTTAGAGACCTCATTGCTCTGAAAATCCTGCTCTATCTATTTTATTCAGGTGCAACTGATTTTACAATAGCAATGTAGGAGGAACTGTGTAAGTGAGTTCCAACCTCTTCTCAATGTTGAAATGGAGTTTTATGGGGTTTCACACTGAGAATATGAATTCCAAGGCAAGGGAAGACAAAGAGCCTCTAATTATTTGAATTTGAATTAGTAGTACATCTTCAGCTTGTTAAGCCATACCCCTCAAAAGTCATGGAGGCTCTTTGTCTTCCCTTGCCTTGGAATTCATATTCTCAGTGTGAAACCCCATAAAACTCCATTTCAACATTGAGAAGAGGTTGGAACTCACTTACACAGTTCCTCCTACATTGCTATTGTAAAATCAGTTGCACCTGAATAAAATAGATAGAGCAGGATTTTCAGAGCAATGAGGTCTCTAAAATTCCCAAATAGCTTACTGTAATGGAGTAGCACATTGCTTAGGGTGACTGAAGCAAGGATATCTGCATTACAAGAGTGACTTTCACTTCTACCTGTTACCCTTGCTTCCACTGCTTTTTCTGTTCCTTCAATGGCTGGCTCTACTATGTGATATAAGACAGCAGCGCATTGCTAGAGAAGCACACAGTGTTAGAAAGGAAGAGGGATATGCCTAAAGAAACATGTGCTGTCATTGAAAGCTATGTAGGATATCAATAAACAAATTAGAGCATGGAGGCATTGTACAACAGTGTATTGGCTTAGAAGAGCACAAATGTAAGTGATTGCATGGAAGAATATCCCCTGAATGGCTAAGAGAGAACCAACAACATGAGCATAAATTGAGTAAGCAGATGATGTCAATCAGGGTCTGACAGTTAAGATGAGATTAGGATTTACTGTAACTTTATAATCAGTTTGCCACCCTTGTTACAAGTGACATCTGACACTAATTTGTCAATCTGTCAGCTAGGTCTGTGATCTGTGACAAGACAAAAGAATTGTCAGGTGGTAAAATCCGGCCTCAAAAATCCAGAAACACCCAATATTAATGACCAGACATGATGCAGACCCAATCTGAGGAACCAAAAAATGAAATTGTCACCTTGACTTGTGACCTGTGACAAATTATTGTATTTCTTCCTCGTCACACTGCGGGGGGACTTATTTTTTTTCCGTGGAAAATGCGTGACAATCTAGAAGTTCGATTTTCACCGTTCTGTTTTCAGACAAAAATTATACATTGAGAATAGACGTCGATTTACGGCTAGATCTTTACCACGAATAGACGTCTATTCCTCCTAAAAACAGGACTGTAAATAGAAGATCTTTTTTTTTATCGATTTTCACTGAGAATAGATCTTCTTTTTTCAGTGAAAAAAGATCTTCTTTTTTCAATGCCGATTCTCACGAAGAACAGACGTCTATTCCCACTGAGAATTGATCTGAAAAAAGATCATCCTTTTTTCAGATCAATTCTCAGTGGGAATAGACGTCTATTCCCGCGAAGAATAGACATTGAAAACAGAAGATCTTTTTTCATTGAAAAAAGATGCGAGTCGCAATGACTCGTTATGAGTCGGCACGACTCAATGAACAGTCGCAGAGCCGAGTCGATCTGCGAGTCCTCATACATGCTGCCGACATTATTACGCGACTATACCGACACTCACGAGCTGCAAGACCCGCCGCCCCTTGCTGTGAGTGCCTGTGTCGTTGATGGGGCCTGCACAGCCACATGATCCGCTGCAACCTAATGTTCAAATACCGCCGTCAACACCAACAACCCGTCTTTGCGCCTTGGATCTGAACCGCCATCTCCACCGGAAGAAATCTCGAGCATCCTACGACGGCCCTCGATTTTCGCCCATCCTCTGTATAATTTTTTCCCGAACCGCCCTCTGTTGTATCGAGCACACAATATATTTATCCTTTGCTACTGCTTTCAGACCACAGCGTGAGCAAGCCATCCAGGAAATCTATTAGGAGAGTGGGGACACATTGATTCTATACGGTGCGTATTTACTGCCTTGTGTTCGACCTGCACAGA